AATCTCAGTTTCCTCTTTTGCTTCATTTAGAAAGCGATAACTCTTTTTCTGAAAAACTAGCCCGAAGGCTCTTTGGAGATCTCAGTTCCAAAGCTTGTTTAAATGTGAAAACATTTATAAACTTCTTTGGGAATACATAGTCCCCATATACTTCTTTGAAGAAAAGAACTTCAAACCTTAGCTTTACTTTTAAAACAACCTCTTTCTTTAGTTTGAGATAATTACTCAAAGCTTAGCCCAAAGGCTCTTTTGGGATTGATGTTCCCTTTTCTTGCTCAAATGTGTAAAAACATTTATAAACTCTTAGGGAATACTTAGTTCCCTTATTACTTTTGAGAAATGAACTCAACTTTATACTCTTGACTTAACTTGAAACTCGATACTCTTTGCTTGACTTGAAACTCTATACTCTTTGCTTGACTTGAAACTTGAGCCTTAAAATGAATTTAAAACGTTCATTAAAGACTCTTGAAAAACTTTAGAGACTTTCTTGACTTACTTCTTAACTTCTAAGCTTCGCTCTAACTTCACTTGACTTCTAACTTCACTTGACTTGGAAATTAACTCTCCTTGAATTGGAATCATGGATTCAAGGTGTTTGATCACATGCTATGGACGAGTTCTTGACGCTTAAACATACCTTGGAGTGTTGGAAACAACTATGAAAGGGTCTGGTTGGGACTCTGCTAGGGGCGCCGCCCCAAGGGCTGGACCTCAGAGTCCCCTTTGGGGCGCGCTGGCTGGCGCGACTCCCCAACCCTTTTCCCCGAAAACTTGACTTTTCTCCTTCATTTTTCCAACTCTAAACCTCCCTTACCTTCAATGGTTTCAACCCCAAACACTAAGGATCATAAAATCCCTCAACATGCAATAGATTCAACTCAAAAACTCCACCGGAAACATACACCAAACCAACCAGAACTTCAACACAACACAACTACAACTTCAACAAACATCACCACAAGATTTCAACAACCACAACTAAATCTTTTCTCGAAATTAAACGAGTTTGGCGTGTGGGGGAAAGAACCAACCCAACACTATGAACTCACATACCTAATAGGGATCACCCCCGACGATATCCACAACGATCTATGACGAAACCTTGCTTGACCTTCTCTTTTTCCTCTTCTTCTCCTCTTCACTCTCAAACCCTTACTTTCACTCTTTAAAAATGAGAAAAACTGATCAAAATCAGTCTAACACACTCATATATATCCAAAAGAAAAGGCTAGGGAAAAAACCAAAATACCCTTACAAATTTCCGGACAGACTTCCCTGCCAACTGCCCAACTTCCAAAGGGCATAACTCACTCATACAAACTCGGAATCGGGCAAAATCGGCGGCGTTGGAAAGATCATTCCACAATCTTCGCAAACATAATTGGAACTACACCTAAATCATCTTGATCTAGAAGTTATGACTGTTCAAAGTTGGCCAAAAACTCATTTGTTTCCCATACTTGGCTAAATTTCCATATTTAATTATTTCCAAAAATGACTATTTCCAATTCTAAGCCTCTTCATAGTTATTTCACATTGCCGGATGTTACAGCAACCCACCCCGCTCCACATTAATTTTTAAAAAACCCACTTCTGCCCTCCCCGCATCCGACCCCCACCACACAACCTTAAACCTGCCCCGCCCCACATAGCCATAAACCCACCATGCCCCGCATCCGCCCTGCCCCATTGCCATCCCTACCTGTGTTGGAGATTATCAATGCTCCAAATTTGGTATCACTAGAGTATATAGGAGATCAAATTCCTAAGACTTTTGTGGATGTGAATTTGCAATGGAATTGCCATCCTAGAAAAGTCATCCTTTTCACAACTAATAAAATGATTTCATGTTTTATGGATCGTTTAATGAAAATATGAAGAGTTCGAGTCATGAAAGCAAGCCTTTGCGTGATAAATTACAAGAAGTAACAACCTACAAATTTGATTGGGAAAATCAGAACTGGTATTTGGTAGAGTTCGAAAGTGGAAAGCTGGCTCTTTCTAGGGACAAATTTTATTTTTTATTGGATTGGTGATGCAGTCACTTTACTCAAAATGCACTGTTTCATTTGTAAAATTTATTAAATTTCAGGCTAGATTCTAGATATTTAAGAACTTTGTCAAATATGTTCAAATTTGAAATATCATTGCACAGAGACACTGCATTCGGTGTTCTGTTTTTCTCTTCAGTTCATGTGACTTTACTATTCTAGTTTCATTTTAAAGCCTCAAAGTAGGTATGTAGTGTGTCGAAAAGGGAAGTTAAGTTGCATATAGTTTTGTCTTAGACTTGTATTTTCTGTGACGTGTGCGTCTTTGCGTCTGTACTTAATTGGTAGGAGATAGAACCATAAAGCATCCTTTTAAAAGCTCTCTTGATCAGTCCATTGCTTTTATTAACTTCAAAAACTCTGTTTTCTTGTATTAACTTCAGGAGGTTCACAGATCATTAACTTCAGCTGTGCAACTCTTCCTTTTCGGGTATTCCCATTTTACGTTTCATTTTTTAATAATTCCACTCGCAATAGATTCAAAAAGAGCATAACTTCTCTGTCTCACCGCAAAATTAGCTAGTTGATAGCCACCATATTGCCTTCCCTATAAATATGAACAAAAGAGAATTGACCTCTCTGGATCAATAATGTCCTTAATCTGCCAAGGGCCATGCATTTTGTTGTTAATCAGGTTAACCATCAGTTAGGAGTTACGCAGTACTATATATACCAATGATACAGTTAAGGCCCTTGAGCATACATAACTTCAAAGTTACCATGTATACGATGACACGAGTCGTGGTTGCTATATACAATTTAACCCTATTGCTGCCAGGTAAAAGTAGATAATAGATACTCCATCCGTTCCTTGTTAGTTTTCATGTATACTAAAAAAATACTTCTTCAAAAATAGCTGTCAATTTAAACAATTTATCACTCTAAATTATGATGAGTGTAAGTCCTAATACAGCTCAAAAGCTTGTAGTCTTAGCTCTTTAAACGATGAAGTAAATATGATACTCCATCCGTTCCTTTTGTTCTATTTCTCCCTTTTAATTATTCATGTTTCCATTTTTTTTTATGGTTTCTGCAAATTGCAGCTACAATTTATTAAACTAATCATCCTTGTAGGGGAGCACCAGAAAGATGCATAACCCCTGTTTCAAGAGATCAAGCATATTCAAAAACTAGCACATTGCATGAATTAGAAGATGTCGAGAACAACTTGAGCAAAGAAACTCCATTTTATACTAAGTTGTCTATCTCTGTCATAGCTACTCAATGAATTACTCCAAAGTTTAATAAGTTTGTGTCTGGCAATTTACGTTGAAAGCCTAGTTCTCCCGTTTTACAGAACAAACCAAGGACTGAGGCATAGTAATAGTTGTTGTTATGATGCATAGTTTTGAGTTTTTCCTTTAATGCTAATTAATAGCAACCAGAGGCGAATCCAGGATTTTAAGAAAACGGGTGCACCATTGCTTTAAAGATGAGATAATTTTTTTTTATAATAACAATAACTAAGCGAGCAATACATAAAAATTACATTACCACAAAAAATATCATCAGTTTACAATTGTACTCGACGAGACTTCATATTTTGAAAACGATCTATAATAGCATCATTACTTATATTTTCAAATATCTTCCGCTCTATCTTACAAACTAAACATCCATTCAAAAATTCTTCACCAATGCTATTACGTAGATCATTTTTGATGAGCTTCATTGAGGAGAATGCTCTTTCCACACTTGCCGTAGCAACAGGCAAAATCAAAGCCAACTTTACAAGCAAATAAACAAGAGACCAAGTTTGATCCAATTTTGTTTGTGCCATCATCGTAGCAAGATCTTTAATCCCCTTCAAGTTGAGAAACTTGCTATCACACTCTCGAGCATAGACAATGAAACTATCAAGTTGATAACTGAGATCTCGAAGTTCATTATCACCAAACTCACTTTATAATATTCGGCCAACTTCATTATTCTGCTCTTACTAAAATTAGCAAATGAATCAACCGGATTCAAACTAGCCATGCCAAGGAGTAAGTCACTAGTCACAACATCAAAACGATTATTGAGCTCCTGAAGTTGCAAATCAATAACTGCATAAAACACTTCCACACGAAAGTGATGTAAATATGAAATTTCGGACTTCTTACGCTTCGATCTTGGATAGTCTTTGGTCATTTCGGGAACCAAAATATCATGTTTACGACAAAATGAAGAAACCTCATCCATCAAAGACTCCAAACCACTCTCTCTCATTGTTTGTAATCTTCTCTTTGAAAGATTAAGCAATCTCATAGCATTGACAATATCTTGATCTTTCTTTTGTAAAGCTTTGTTCAATTCATTTGTAAGAAGCAACATCTTGAACATCAAATGCAACACAAAGATAAATTCAAATTCTTGAATTTTATCTAAAAGGTTACCTGCCGCAAGTTTATCAAGATCATGTGGAGAATTTTCTTTCATATCTTTAAGCACATTAGCAATTGAAGAAAATATAATCATGAATTTTTCCAAGGTTTTGAAATGGGATTCCCAACGAGTATCACCCGGTCGTTGGAGGCCACGTTCTTGATTTAATCCTTGTCCGGTAAGAATTTCTCCAGATTTAAGCAATTCTTCTAACTTCTCAACTTGGTGTTGTCGAAGTAAGTCCCTGCGTTTAAAAGATGTCCCAATAGTATTCAAAACATTAGTGACAACATAAAAGAAAATTTTCACATCCAGATGTTTTTTAGAAAGAGCCACAAGTGTCAATTGCAATTGGTGAGCAAAACAATGTATATGATATGCAGACGGAGCATCTTGCAAAATCAAAGACTTTAGACCATTTTTTTCTCCTTGCATATTACTAGCTCCATCATAACCTTGTCCACGGAGTCTTGATAGGCATAACGAGTGATCCAAAAGTAAAGAGTAAATTACTTTTTGCAATGATCTTGCAGATGTATCACCCACATGAACAATACCCAAAAAGCTTTCTATCAACTCTCAGTTTTTGTTAACATATCGTAAAACTAGTGCCATTTGCTCTTTATGTGAAATGTCCTTTGACTCATCAACTAGTATTCCAAAATAATCACCATCCAAGTCTTTGATGATAGCTTTAATTGTTTCTTTAGTACAAGCATCCACAATCTCTTTTTGAATTGTTGAACAAATCATCATATCATTTTTTGGAGCATGTTGTAATATCACCTTTTCCACATCCGGACGATTAACCCCATGAAATTTCAAAAGTTCAAGAAAAAGACCTTTGTAATCGGAATCTTCACTCTCATCATGACCACGAAATGACAATCCATTTCTTAGGAGAAACCTTACCACATTGATTGAGGCATTTAAACGAATTCGATAATCACTTTTTGTTTTTCCACTTTGCTTGTGAAGAGAAGATTGAATTGATTGACGTTGATTCGCAAAATCAAGCATCATATTCAAACATTTGTTATGAATACTATTCACCTCACCAACATGCAATCGAATCCTTTCCGGACCATGGTTCCAATTCTTAAAGCCATCTTGTGTAAATGATTTTCCTGCATTACCACGACTTTCAAATTCATTCTTGAAGAGATAACAACACAAACAAAATATAGCATCATCATCTATGCTATATTCCAACCAAGCAGAATTTGGAGCATTAAACCACTCAGGATCAAATTGCCGATTACTAGTCCCAAATGTTGTTTTAGGATATACACGAAGTTTTGGTTGATAAGGCCCCATCAAAATATAATGTCTCCTCACAACATCTCGAATATTAGAATCATATTCAAAGATGAGTTTTCTTTCTCCGGGATCCCGTTTGAGAGATCCAACCCCAAGAATACAATCAACATTTGAAGAAGAAGATGTAATTGTCTCTCTTTGAGCTTCTGGAGCTACATGTGAACTAACAGATAGATCGCTACTATAACGTGGTTTCTTAATAAAAAATTTATCCATTTAGATATTCAAGGATAAATGTTCCTACAAATTCAAATAACTATTCAACTTAGTCACAAATTTTAACTAGCAAATTTAAAATAACATAAGAGAATCGCATATCTTTCACAATAAAAAATAAGGGAATCACACCCTTGCAAGTTCAAATAAAATAGAGGAATCACAATCCTTGCAAATGTAACTAAAATAGAGGAATCACACCCCTTTCACATTTAACAATAAGAAAATCACACATTCATAATAAAAAGAGGACTTATGCCTCTTTTGCATTCGAAATCACATATTCATAGAAAGAAGAGGAATCACACCCCTTTCACATTTAAAAAAAATAAGGGAATCACACCCATTTCACATTTAAAAAATAAGGGAATCACACCCCTTTCACATTAAAAAAAAGGAATCACACCCTTCAAAATTGATAATATAATATGAAACACATTTCTTACAAGTTACATCCGCAAAATATGTAAGTTTGAGATAATCAATTCTTTAGCTATTGATGATTTCCTATTATAAGTAATGACAAGATTTTTTTATATGAAAACCCTAAAATTAAAGTGATATATACATACATATTTTTTTTTTTTATCTTGTTAGTTTGTATATTAAAAAGAGAAATCATAAACTAAAATTACCTTAAACTTTGACAATGATGATTTCTCTAAATTCTTGACTTGAAGTTGGAGACTTGAAGTTCTTCTTTGTGTGGAAAATAGAAAACAAATTTGAAGAGAGAAGAAAAATATTGTTGGAATTTGAAACTTGAAAAGTGTGTGGAAAGGAAACTTTTGAAGTCTTTGACTTTTAGAACTTTTAGAATTTAGCTTTTTTTTTTTTTTTTTTAATGAAAAATGTGTTTTTAGTTAATAAAAATAAATTGCAGCGAATTGGGGCTGCCTGGGATCGAACCTGTGACCTGTGAGTTGAAATTTTGCAGTGGTACCAGTGAACCATCCAACCATTTTGAGAACGGGTTCAACAAGTTTTAATTTAATATATTCTTTAATAATTATAGAAGTAATATATCGAGTTTAGTCGGATGACCACGGGTTCGGGTGACCCAAAATTAGTACATAAATTCGCCCCTGATTCCGAAGACAGCCTTCAGAACTCGGTATGGTCATTATGAATTTGTAGTTATGTCATTTGGACTAACCAATGCTCTTGCAACTTTCATGGATTTGATGAACAGAGTGTTCAAGCAGTACTTGGACTTGTTCGTTATCGTCTTTATTGATGATATCCTCATTTACTCTAGGAATGAGGAAGAACATGCGAGTCATTTGAGAGTTGTTCTGCAAACTCTCAAAGATCGTTAGTTGTTTGCAAAATTTAGTATGTGTGAGTTTTGGTTACAATCAGTTGCTTTCCTTGGGCATATTGTGTCTAGTGAAGGAATTCGAGTAGATTCCCAGAAGATAGAAGCAGTGAAACAATGGCCCAGACCTACTTCTGCTACAGATATCAGAAGTTTCTTGGGTCTAGCAGGTTATTACAGACGGTTTGTGGAAGGATTTTCATCCATAGCCTCTCCATTGACTAAGTTAACTCAGAAAAAGGTTAAGTTCCAATGGTCAGATGATTGTGAGAAAAGCTTCGCAGAACTGAAAACTAGGTTGACTACAGCTCCTGTCTTGACTCTACCAGAGGGTTCAGATGGTTATGTGATCTATTGTGATGCATCCAGAGTCGGCCTAGGTTGTGTGTTGATGCAGCGAGGTAAGGTTATAGCTTATGCTTCTAGACAACTTAAGGTACATGAGAAGAATTATCCAACTCATGACCTCGAGCTAGCAGCAGTGGTGTTTGCACTTAAGATTTGGAGACATTACTTGTATGGTGTTCATGTAGATGTGTTCACAGACCATAAGAGCCTCCAGTATGTATTCACCCAGAAAGAGTTGAATCTTCGCCAGAGAAGATGGCTAGAGTTCCTCAAAGATTATGATATGAGTGTGCATTACCATCCTGGTAAGGCAAATGTAGTAGCAGATGCCCTTCACAGACTATCTATGGGTAGTGTAGCACATGTTGAGGAAGAAAGAAAAGAGCTAGCAAAGGATGTTCACAGACTTGCTCGCCTAGGAGTTCGTCTTATGAGCATATCAGATGGTAGTGTAACAGTTCAGAATGGGGCAGAATCTTCTTTGGTAGTAGAGGTTAAGGAAAAGCAAGATAGCGATCCAATCTTGCTTGAACTTAAGAGTGCAGTCCACAATCAGAGAGTGGAGGTTTTCTCCCAAGGGGGAGATGGTGTACTTCGCTATCAAGGTAGATTGTGTGTTCCTGATGTGGGTGAATTGAGACAGCATATTCTCGCAGAAGCCCACAATTCCAGATATTCTATTCATCCAGGCGCCACTAAGATGTACCGTGATCTACGGGAAGTCTATTGGTGGAATGGTATGAAAAGAGATATAGCAGACTTTGTGGCTAAGTGCCCCAATTGCCAGCAAGTCAAGGTAGAACATCAGAAACCAGGAGGTATGACTCAAGAGATTGACATTCCTACTTGGAAGTGGGAAGTAATCAACATGGACTTCATCACAGTTTTACCTCGTACTCGCAAACAACATGACTCCATTTGGGTGATTGTTGATAGGGTTACTAAGTCTTCTCGCTTTTTGGCGGTCAAGACTACAGATTCGGCGGAGGATTACGCCAAGCTTTACATTAATGAGATTGTGAGGTTGCATGGAGTTCCTTTGTCTATCATCTCAGATAGAGGTCCTTAGTTTACATCTCATTTCTGGAAGTCATTTCAGAAAGGTCTTGGTACTCAGGTTAACCTTAGCACAGCATTTCATCCACAGACGGATGGTCAGGCAGAGCGTACCATTCAGACCTTAGAGGACATGTTGAGAGCTTGTGTGATCGACTTCAAGGGTAGTTGGGACGATCACCTTCCTCTCATTGAGTTCGCCTACAACAATAGTTACCATTCCAGCATTCAGATGGCCCCTTATGAGGCATTATATGGGCGTAGATGTAGATCTCCAGTTGGTTGGTTTGAAGTAGGTGAAGCAGCCTTGATAGGACCAGATTCGGTCCTTGATGCTATGGAGAAAGTGCAACTCATTAGGGATAGACTCAAGACTGCTCAGAGTCGCCAGAAGTCTTATGCAGATGTGAGAAGAAGGGAACTAGAGTTCCAAGTTGATGATTGGGTTTTCTTGAAAGTGTCACCTATGAAAGGGGTGATGAGATTTGGCAAGAAAGGGAAGCTCAGTCCCAGATATGTTGGCCCTTACCGGATCTTGAAAAGGATTGGTAAAGTGGCTTATGAGTTAAAGTTGCCAGCAGACTTAGCAGCAGTGCATCCAGTCTTTCACATTTCTCTTTTGAAGAAGTGTGTGGGTGATCCAGCATCCATAGTGCCATTAGAGAGTGTGGCAGTGAAAGATAACCTTTCTTATGAGGATGTACCAGTTGAGATTCTCGATCGTCAGGTTAGAAGGTTGAGAAATAAAGAAGTCGCTTCAGTCAAGGTTTTGTGGAGGAGTCAGTCAGTAGAGGGAGCTACTTGGGAAGCAGAAGCAGCCATGAAGTCCAAGTATCCTCACCTCTTTCCTTCCGATTCCATTCCAACTTGAGGTAATAGTTCCTCATCAGTTTTTCAGTCATTCATGCGAAAATTCAGTCTTAGAATCATGTTCCTTCAGTTTGTACTTGCATTTTCAGCGTATTTGCATGTCCTTGGAACTCAGTTCAGTCAGAAATTCAGTTCTCAGTGTTTAGTGGTAGGGATTGCAGCTCTTTCCCTACATTTCAGCTAGATTAGTCTTCATTCGAGGACGAATGGTCCCAAGGGGGAGATAATGTAACACCCCGTATTTGAAACAGATAAAAATGCAGATTTTGAAAAGTTGCAGGTGCAACTTACGGTCACCATCCACGGACCGTAGGTCAGACCACGGCCCGTGCTGGTGGTCCGTGGTTCACCACTGCAACCCCTCCCCAAACCAGCTCAGAAAATTGGCTAAGTCCCGACTCACGGACAGACCCACGGTCCGTAGATCAAACCATGGTCCGTGGTCTGTGTCCGTGGATCGAGACTTCCCTTAACAGCCTCTGACACAAACTACGGTCGACCATCACGGACCGTCATTCGATCCACGGTCCGTAGGTCTGACCGTAGATCGAAGGTTAGCAGCCAGTTAGCTGAAAATTCTGATGGGTCAACTTCAGATGGTCATAACTTTTAGCACAAAATGAATTATGTGTCCCATGACCTATGGTTAGATAGATAATTGAATTATCTTTCCAACACCACCGAGTTTTCTATATTCCGACCTCCGAGTAAAAGGTTATGCCCGTTTTAGTGAAGATCTGTCGGGCAGACTCGACCTACGGACCCAATCGACGGACCGTCGATTGATTGACGGACCGTCAGTCACTCCGACAGCAGCTAATTTAAGGGTCTTTTGGTCTTTTCCTATTTCGTTTCACCCCTAAGATACGTCGTTTAGACCCTAAATCATGAGATTTTAATCAGTTTAAACCTAGAAACATAACTAGAACTTACCTAAGTCAAATCATTAATCAAACTTAGAAGAATTAGAACGCTAAGAGGAGAAAAGAGGTCAAGAACCCTAGTTCAAGAACGCAACAAGTTTCCTTCAGTTCCAGCCCCGAAATCGAATGATTTCTCCATGGAATTCATCACCAGGTATGTGGGATTTCACTAGTGGGTTCCTTTCACCCATTAGGTCCCTAGAATTCAGTCAGATTCTTGATTCCATGGTTATGAACAGACCTAGGGTTTCTAGAATTATAGCAGATCATCATAAATTAGTTATTTAAATGTTCCAAATCAGATTATCATGTTATTGCTCAGTTTATCGCATGAATTTCAGAACCCTAGCTATGTATTTCTTTAGATCTTGAATTACACATGCTAGGTCAGATATTTCAGTATTCAGTTTTACATGCCTCAGTTTATGAATGCATCATTATCAGATTAATTGTTGCATTCTGAGTTTGCATGTTCAGTTCGAGCT